GTGTGTGTGTGTGTGTGTGTGTGTGTGTGTGTGTGTGTGTGTGTGTGTGTGTGTGTGTGTGTGTGTGTGTGTGTGTGTGTGTGTGTGTGTGTAAGTATGTGAATCGCTTATAACTTTTGAACGGTTGAACCGATTTCATCGCGGTTGGTGCCATTCGGAAGAGCTTCGCCAAACTTAGATTCCCTGTTAATTTGAATCGATTCGGACCGATAGATTTTGAGAAATTTTGAGAAATCTCAAAAAAAAATCGGAAGCAAAATTTTTTTGAAAGTGGTTTTTTTGGATTAACTTTTAAACGGCTTCATCGATCAACTCCAAAAACTAATCCGCCCTTCAACTTAAAAAACCACGTCGATCACCGCTAATCCAGTCAAAATCGGTTGATTCGTTCGAGAGATAGCGTGAACGAAAGAAAACCGAAAAAAGTGTTTTTTCAGAATTACTCCGAAATTCCTGGTTCGATCAAACTAAACTTACAGATTCTTCATGGGGCTTAAAAAATTGCGTCAAACGCTGGCAACCGTGTAAAAATCGATTCATTTATTCAAAAGTTATTGCAGTTTGAAAATTTGAAAAATTGTGTTTTATCAAACTTCTATCAGACTTTTGAGCTCGAAGAGCTCAAAAGTATAGAAAAGCTATCCCTTCAAGCTCAGAGAGCTCAAAATAACACATAAATTGTATTTTTGAGCTCAGAGAGTTCAAAAACATCATTACACTGAAAAAAAAGTTTTCTACGCTTCAGGATACAGTATCGCTACTGTCACCATACGCACGTTACGAAACACTGGATCGCTATGGTCACTATCCGTTTTGCTAATTTAGCTATCTATTGAATACACCTAGCAGTGACGGAGAAACTGACTTTGCATAATTTATTATTGACGTTTTAAATAATGATTTATTTGATTGAAGCCGTTTTAAATATTTTATCCAGTAATTATAATTACGACAATAATCACCATGCACTTAATAATTGTCGATAAACAATGACAAATGAGGTTAGGAACTTACGCCGAAAAACTGGCGCTTCGAGGTTAGATCGCAACCGTCAGGATCCGTTCCCTGATTATAGCGATATGCTGTTCATGATACAACGGATCACGGAGCTTAGATAGAGCTATCTAAGCTCCGTGCAACGGATAGTGAAACGTAGAAAACTTTTTTTTCAGTGTAGTGCCATTTTAAGCACCTAGGTATGAAATTAGCGGGAAGTTGCACGGATGGCCTTTAGGGTCTACCGTTTTTCTAATTTTTTTTTAATAGTTTATATCAAAAAATTTTGTTTAAAAAATTCCGCATATAAAAATTTTAAGAAATTATAAATGCAATTATTTAAAAATAATTTTTTATAACTTGAATTAATTTATTTATCGCATAAAATTTAAAAATGCTCAAGTGTCTGCTAATTTTAGTGTCATTAAAATATGAGCCAGAAGTTTAGTCGCTTGTAATTTTTTAAAAATAAATCACATATTGAAAACTCACTGTAATTTTTAATACGGTAAAATTTTTTATTTTGAAAAACTATTCATGCAAAAATGGAAAAACTACTCGAGTATTTTTCAAAATTTGAAAATTATAATTTTTTCAAAAATCATAGTGAATTGAAGTTTTGTATTCATATTATTAATAAATTTAAAGAATTAAAATACCCTATTATTTTTATAATACTAAAATCTGAAAATTTTTAGTTTTTATTATCAATTGAATCAGAATTTAAAAAATATTTTCAAAAAATTGCGCTTATAATTGTTTTTAATTTTCTACATGTTGAATTTTGCTTTTGAATTTTTTCAATAAAAAAAAATCCTTAAAATTGTCAAATGTCAGTCAATTTTAGAATCATATTATTGTTTTATAAATTGAAATTTTCTAATTTTGAAAAAATATTCATGTAGAAAATGACAAAATCTATTAAAGTATTTTTCAAAATTTTATTATTAATAAAATTACAGGGTATTCCAATTAATTTCTTACAGCAAGATATACTTCTATATATGTTTCATCAAAAAAGTGGTGGGTGGCGGTTAATTTCTGGTTCATCATTATGATTATGTTACATTGTTATGATACTAAAGTTAGCAAACGTTCCACAATTTTTATTTTTTTCATTAATTAAATTAGAACTAATAAAATATTTTGAAAGTTTTACGCGCATTGTTTTTCAAATTTTCTACACGTGGAATTTTTTTTAATGTTTTTGTAATAAATTTTTCTTTAAAAAAATTCTAAAAATTGTCAGATGTCTGCTAACTTCATTTTGATTGTATTGTTTCGCATACAATAATTGAAATGAATTAATTATAGAAGATAACATACTGTGTCTGGTCTGCAAGTCGATAGAATCCATTGCAGGAGTGAGAAGCTTCTGTAAATTTATGGGGATAGTCTTCTGTCCGCTGTCCTGATAAAAGATGAAATAAAAATTTATAATTAGCTTCGAATTCTGGGGAAGAAATAATAAACATGTATCATGGCAAAAGCTAGCGAATATGATTGCAGTTTTTACACGCAAAGCAAGCGAAGCGTAATTTTATTTGTATATTCAACCTTAGAACTCACCATATCGAAATGTAAGATTTTAGAGGTAAGATTTTCGAGAAAATTTCTCTTAATTGGATCGTGTCTGTCAGATGGTTTAAATCCGCGAGTTTTTATGACATTATCAGCGGATAAGCTTCTCTGTATGTGGATGTTGCTGTTGCTATTGTTTGTGTTTGTTTTCGAGGATGTTTGAAATATCAGACGTTTATTTTCCACATTTTTTAGATTTGTCGATATTGCGTAGTTGTAAACGATGCTGCTTCCGCTATTATATTTACTAACTGGTCTGTTTAATTTTTGAAGTAAGAAAAATTTATTAAATGCGTAACAATAACAATAATAGTTATTAATTATCAATAATAACATAAATTATCATTCAATAGGTGATGCTGGGTGTTTTTGCGGATTTGTCTAATATCTGGTAATTATTGAAGTGTTAACGCTCTTAGGATTTTCAAAGGATCAATTTGTTTTTAACGGTTGGACTAAATACAAACTAAATTTCTCAGTAATTAATCTAAAGATTAATTAATAATTTTGATAAGTATTTTTTATATTGTTATAAAAAATTTGAGGATAAAATTTTAATAGAAAATTGAGGATTTTTTTCGTCGACCTGACATTTTGTCAAAAATAGAATTTTTTTGGTAGTGAATGAAATTTTCGATAAAAATCTTTTTTTTTTAAGATTTTATCATTTTGAATTAATTTTTTGACAAAAACAGAATTTATACTTCATTAGTTTTTAATTTGGTGATTCTAAATGTCTTTAACCATTCGATAATGACAAAATAATATTTTATATTACCGAAAAATTGTTAGATTTTTCAAATTCGACTAAAAACTGAAGATATCATGTTCTTCGCAAGACACATTTTTTAAAGAACCTCTTAGAGAACCTTCTACATGAACCAGAAAAATCATTAGTTATAAAAGAAAAGAACTTATAATCTAAGTTTAAAGTCACTACTATCCGTATATAAATTTTTTAATGCGTCAATCGAAGAAACTCTTCAGAATTATTCAAAAATCCCTCTTTCCGGCTTTATAATAGCATATAACCCCTTAAACAACAATTAATTATTATTAATAATATAACAATCAATCATTCAAATTATCATCAAATAGGTGATGCTGGGTGTCCGTGCAGTATCGCTCTGATACTGGTAATTATTTAATCCCCAACGAATTTAAATCCAACGAAACCGATCGCGAATACGAATAAAAGAGAGAATTGGTTGGCTTCCAACATGCCAATTAATTCCGCGTTGCGGCATTGGCATCATCTACAACACCAACTTCTGTGTGAAAGAAATGCTAAATTTATCTGTTGTAACGTAATACGTTTTAGCTGCCTATACAACTTTTACTATTACTATTATATTACTATACAATTAACACTCTAGTCTCGACAAGAGAACTATAGTCTTCATGAAGAATAAACCATCTAATCTAATCTAAACGGTCTAACCATTGCATCGGGTCTTTCTTTGTACTTGTTGCATTAAATCGACTGGGAATGAGATCGCGGCCTCGAGCCGATTAAACCGATCCCTAATTTATAGAATTATTTTATTTTAATAAATTTATTCTTCATTATTATTACTATTCATTTTCATTATATTTATCACAATTTGTCTTTGAGACTGTAAATTGGTTATTTTAAATCAATTTCTGTTTGTGAAGTCTCTTTATACTCTTTTATAAATATAAATGATGTATATAAACTAAAAGCCGGCAGATTTGACACTAATGTATGGCTGTTATTATGATACTCTTCACCGGTTGAATTATTAGATACATCTCGAGATTAATCTTGAAAAAAAAAGTAAAGTGTTTTTATTTTAAAATCAACTTTACTTTCAATATAATATTTTAGTAAAAAAAACAAAAAAAAAAAAAAAATAGGCTAAGTAAAAAAAGTTTAACCAAATAAAATAAAGGTTTTTATTGAACATTGCGTAAGTTAAGTTAAAAATATAAATCTGTTGTGCCTGGAAGTATTTAAAATAAATTTAATGCTTTTAAAATTTTTTCTTAAATATTTTTATCAGCGATTCTGAGAAAAAACAAAATTGTATTATGAATAAATTTATAAAATGAGTATTAAAAAAAAAAAATGAAAATACAAATGCGTATTTGGTGGAGTAATGAATATGAAAAAGAATAAATAATAAAAATATTTACTTATCTAATGACGCTCTCCGCATTTTTAACACTTGGGATAAAATCCCCCTTATGGATATTTTTATTTCTATTGTATATGTTTATATATTTATTTATAAACGTTCGTATATGTGCGTTCGGTACTCGGTATTTATTATTGACTAATTTACGTAATAAATAATCAGACAATGCTGAACTTAAGCTACGGGTAATGATCACCGTCCGGGCGACACGCGAAATACACAACCACCGAGATTTTAATCTTACAAAATATTCTTACCTCAAACATTCAGAAGATATACTATTTTATATATACTCGTATATATTTATAGGTATATATATATTGACTGGCGTGTCGCGGTTTTCATAAAACGTTTTCCGAGATGTTAAAAACAAACTTCATTTTTAAACTTAATATCAAAATTTTTATTTTTTTTTTTTACAGTCATTAATTTTGTAATTTAATTTAATTTAAATTTTAGTTAAAAAAAAAATTAGTTTTTAAATTAAAAAAAAAGTTAATTTTTATAGTTATAATCATGAAATTGAAATCATAATGATGGTGTGTATACAGAAAAATTATCGCCTTATTATCAATAGATTTCTCCTAGCAACAATTAAAGATAATTTGAAAGGAAAATACACACTTTACATACCGCTAATTACAATACACGAGGATGTGGCTTTATAATAGAGCTCAAATGTTCGTCTCTACTAACGTTCTTAAACTTCCCGACTGGTTGGGTCGTACAATTGTTAAAAATAGACCACCAGAAGCGACACCTTAGAATTGGTTGGGATTTTCTTCTTATGTTATAGTTATATACAGCTTGCTAACATGCCCGTCATTACAGACTTATTAAACTATCAGCTTGTTCTGAACATCTCCAAAATATAAATTCATATAAATTAAAAAAAAAAAAAAAAGAAAAATAATCTTAAACAATAAATTTTATTTAAAAAATTAGTCCCAATCATCAATCTTGGTGTCTTTTACAACATCATTAGCTGTTTCATCAACCTCGTTACTCTTATGGGAAATTTTAATTTTCTTGGTTTTATTTTTTCTGGTGGCTTGCTTCTCCAACAACTCATTCATTTCCTCAACCGCCATATCCAGGTCACTGTCATGATCATTATCACTGTCATTGAGCCTCTTACGGGACTTTAAGCTCGGTAAATTGTAATCACCTAAATCATCGTTGTTGGTCATGAATTTTAACTTCTGAGACAAGTGTAATTTATACCAGGACTCGTAGAATTTCGACAGAGGCGATTGAATCACTTTGAGCTGATTTTCAAAGTTTTTTATGGTGTTTAAGTCGCTCAGATTTATCACTACTTTATTGCGCTCTGTTTCTACGAACTGCCGGTTTTCTTGAATTTTATCTAGCAGCTGCTTGATTTTCTTGCAGAAATTAGCGACTTTACATTTTTTCAAGAAGACTTTCATCTGAAAAATATATTAATTTTTTTATGTATAAAAAAAAATAAATTCACGAATGACAATTGAAAATTATAAATTAAAATTAAAGACAATTGTTGCGTGCCATATTTCCAAGTATTTAATTGTGGAGTTATTAATGATATCGAAACATCGATAGTCGATTGAAAATAATGAACTATTAACGTCTTCAAGTTAGATTTTTTATTTTAGTTTTTAATTTTAATGTAATTTTTCTTTCATGATTAAATAGTAAAATGGCGTGTTATAAACCAGAATTTTTTTTTTTAACAAATAAATAATAATTTATATTAACAATTGATGTTCCGATGCTTAAAAAAAATAAATTAATAAAAAAATATCGATGCTTCGATGGCAAAAATTGAAACAATCAATAGTTTGATGTCGATGTGTTTTACCAACATCGTCGAATCCCAAATATCGTGACTAATAATTTGATTAATCTTTGTAGAATAAAATTAAATAAATGATAATTATAAACATAATTTTTTGTTATTAATAGAACAAATAATAAATAAATAAATTTTTTGCTGACCTGCATGGTACAAGGCACGTATAAATCAGAAAAATAAATAGAATGACTTTCGTTAGCAGCATGCTCGAGTATCAGTTGATAAATATCGTCAACAATAGCATTCTTGAAATTGCTTTCCTTTAACTGTATTTTGGATGCTCTTAGCAGGCACATAAATGACATATGCTTCATTTGAGATCTCTGGTGCTTCTTGTTGAAGTCGTAGGTGTTTAATACGTCCAATAGGAACGGTAGGATGGGGATGAAAGTACCTGTTTCTTTGGATAGATTAATTAACATCTGGCAGCAGTGGAATCTCAAAGGATAGTATTGTGCGGTAGGAATTAGTTTTATTGTTCCGGTGATTATTTGCACCAATGGATACAACAGCGAACGAAGCATAGATCCATTCTTTGATAGTGACATTATTTGACACCAGAATCGCAGTGAGTTTATGTACTGCCAGTTGTAAACAGCTTGAAATAATTCCTGTCAAGATATTAATTTTTCATTATTTTCATTGAAATTCATTAAAAAGTAATATAATTATTCAAAATTAATAATCTTGAAAATAAAAAAAATATTAACCTTCTTTTTAAGTGTCAATGCATTTCTCAAATGAATGGCAAGTTGGCGTATATACAAAAATGCGTGATTGTAAGCTAGATTCTGATCAAGCATATAAATTTCAGCTAACGAGCGTCTCATGAAATTTATTCCTGGCATTGAATTCGGTGAAACAAATTTAGAATTTTCAACGTATTTGATGTACATTGTCTGAAAAATTCATCAATTTATTTTATAAATTATTATCATATTATATTATGTTTATATTTTTAAGTATAATGAGAAGAAGCGTACCCTGAAAAGATTATCAAGAATAGACTCTTTGCGGCTGGTCGCCATTTGAATAATACTCAAATACGCAACAATTCTGACAGTTTCTTCTCCACTAGACCAAAATCGAAGTAAAATACGCAGCAGTGGTTTATTCAATGACGAAAATGAACCAGTGAAACATATCATCTGATGTAAATGTTTCAGTAACACTACTTGGACATCTGTTGATGTCACATTCTCAAGGATCTATGATAAATAATTAAATGACAATAAATAAATAGTAAAAAATGAATAAGGTTACATAAGAAATTTAAATTAACATACTTGGAGTAAATCCTTTAAATATTGCTTCAATATTCCTTTCACTTTTCCGAAACGTTTGCACTTGTGAGCTTCAAATTTTGATTCATTTGTCATTTTTAAAAATTTCTTGAATGCCGTGGGTAAATTCATTACACACAATTGAACGACTCCATTGAAAGCTGAAGAAATTAGTTAGTAGTAAAATAATTAATTGTAAGAAAGTAATTTTTATGATACTGGAATTAACTGATATTTTACGATTTTTATAACTAATAAATCATCGTGAAAAAAAATTCCAATTGTAGAAATTAAAGAAATTAGGAGTCCGAATTAAAAAAATTTTTTTTTTATAATAATTTATTCGCTATAAAAAATCAAAAAACTTATCAGCCATCTGCCAATTTTAGGATTGTTATTTTTTTGTATTGAAAAAAAAAAAAAACTCACCAGCGCTTCCCTCGACTTTATACTCGACATTTTTAGACTCTTCTGGATCAGCGACTGTCAAAAGTGCTGCGTGGAAAGCGTCAACGATACATTTCATCGTTTGCATTGACCTATAATGAATAATTAATTATAATTGAGTAAAAAAAATAAAAAGAAAATGATCATTAAGTAAAAATTCTTACTTATCGGTTTGAATATCTTCCTGCCATTTTTTAATTAACTTCAAAGTCACTTTAACACGCCCTTGAATTTGATTTTTTATAACTTCAGTTTCTTCGTAATCACTTTCGTCACTGTTGCCCTAGAGTGAAAAAAAATATTTAATACTTGTAAAATTTTCTGATTTTTCAATAAAAATAAATGATAAATTACAGCTAAGTTTCCATCTGGGACATGAATGCCATCATCATCATCATCATCATCATCTTGATCAGAAGCTCGCTCATTCTCGTCCTCTGAGTCTTCAAACTCCAGCAGTTTTTTGTCATTCTGTTCCAAAAATTTATAAAACTCTGGATCGGTATTTGCCAAGTTCTTCAAAGCCTTTTTGTGTTCCTTAGGATCTAACTCACTCTCTCCACTATCGGAATCATGTTCGGCTTCGACATCCTCGTCGTCCTCGACTTGAAAATCATCATCGAAAAATTCATCCGTCGTAACCTGGCCTAGATCTTTACTTTTCACAGACTTTTTACTTTTCTTCGCTGTTGTTACTTTTTTAATTTTTTTCTCTTTTATTTTCATGGTTCTAAAAATTAAAAAATTAAAATTAATGAAATGTGGTCTAACCTAAAAATTGCATTTTTACTTACGACTCGGGAATTATTATGAATTATGTATCAAATTTCACTTTTTATTTGTTGTATATGATTATTAATTTTTACAATTAGTAATTTAAGTTACTATTAATTATTACACTGATTTATGTTTACACTTTACTATGTTCGCACGTGGAGAAACTTAGAGATGTAAACTAATAAAAAAAATGTACAGCGACCATATGATTATTAAATTCTAAATTCGGCTTGTAAAATTTCAACGAGCAACAGTGCCATTACAACTTTTTCAGAAAAGTAGAATCCTAACTAGTCGGCTCATGTTAACTAAAACTGATAACTACTCTATCATTACATGATATATTAGTTATAAATTATATAAATTATATAAATTATATAAATAATTAAGGAGGTCCTTTCGCCGCCAATGTAAAATAAAAAATATTAGATTATGAGTAAATTCAATTTTTTTCTAATAGTTAAGGTCCTTATTTATCTAATAGTGAGGTTTAAATTATACTTTACCGGACAAATTTTTAAACCTCACTATTAGATAAATAAGGACTTCAACTATTAGAAAAAAATTTAATTTACTCATAATCTAATATTTTTTATTTTACATTGGCGGCGAAAGGACCTCCTTAAGTTATTTGGCAACGTTGCGTAGCGCGCGAGCTTCAGACCATTCAATAAATTCAAACTAATTTATTTATTTACACTGACTGCAAAAACTTAAACGTGGTTAAGGTTATATTGTGCAAATGAAAATGTAAACAACCGAAGTACAGCGTTGCCAAATCACGGACAGGTTACTAGCAGTTGATTTGAAAGAGTCAAATTAATTTTTGTATTTAACTATTTTTTTTTTTTTTATTTTCAAAATTTCAACGATTAAGCTTCATATACTATTTATTATCTAATTTTAGGAATTTTTATGGGTTTCTTTTTTTAATTTATCGTATATTGACTACTACAATTGTTTTGACTCAACTGGAGTGAAAGGATTTCCTTAAATAATAAAATAATTATATAAATTATAAATAATTATAAATTATATAATTTTACTATATATTATATATATATATAGATAATGTATTTTTATTGATAAATATATATGACTAACACCAATATACTTTTAAAGAATACACAGTAAATAATTAAAGCACAAACATGAATATCATTCAATTAGGCATTTAAATATTAAATATTTTTTTTTGCTCGACGGGCAGAAAGCGTCAAATTTCGGCCTGCCGCGCTAAACGAAATTGCCACTTTCTGCCTTCGTCGAGCCAAAAAAAATAGCATACACTCCTCGGGAAGTAAATAAGAAAGCCTCAGATCACATGTTTGTTGACCTCGGCTTCGCCTCGGCCAACAATTACATGTGATCTGAGACATTTCTTACTTTACTTCCCTCGGTGTGTAATATACTATTAATTTAGATAGATAGTGATGAAAATTCATTATGAAATAGCACCAGTTTGTTATATAACGATTAAAATATATTTTTTTGGTATCAAGTAGATAGCCCTGGTTAGAAAAAATAATTGAAATGAATTGGTCATATACAAACTGTATATTATAATCTACATTGTATTAATTAATTGTGATGTTCCTTGGCATTGCAGTTTCATAAATTTCTTTTAAGATGCATTATTAGGTATTACAGGTTCATTAATTCCTTCTAACCAAAGAAAAATTTTAGAAAAAACGTTCTGCTACTTGATAGATTATTTAATTATCTTTTTTTTTCGAAATTTTCATTAGGTCAAGAATAATTTATGAATCTGCAATAGCTTTGCTGTTGCGAGCGCCACAAATATAGTAAACTGATAAAAAAATTGACTTGACTAAAAAAAAATGTTAAATCAAAGAATATGCCACTTTGGGGAAAATGATTTTCTTGATTTAAGATAAACAATTCTTGAGCCAAAAAAAAATTATTCTTGGTTTAAATGAAATTGTTTTTGGTTCAAGAATTTTTTCTCTTGAATCAAATTAACTTTTTTACCAGTGAATGGTTTCTCTCAATGATGAGTGAAATCAGAAAAAAAATAGGAACAGTTCTTAATATATAGATGTACGATTGAATTTGGTGACCTATTTTAAATTCTTTGCAATTATTGTTTTTAAACAGAGAAGATTATCTCAGTGCATTTTTGGTAAACTTTTTAGAAACTGACTTTCCCACGCACTCTGAAAAATCCCAAAGAGTTGCGATTGTGCAGAATTGCGCCTAAGCCGAGGTAATTTTCAATAATTATTTGACTCTTGGTAAATTCGCACTGCATATTGAAGTGAGTCATCAAAGCATCGTGAAAATCGTCTACGTCAAACCGCTTCTGTTCTTCACTTGTACCTAATGCAGAATAAATGGATATTTTTCATTAATTTTTGCATTATATGTATCAATGAATTTCATTTTAAATTGATTAAAAAAATGAACTACTTTTATGCCAGTAGAGAGGATGACTTGTATATGTTACCCAGGGAATACGTTTGGCAAAAGGATTCCATTTTTTGTCTAAAGACAAGGGTTTGCCTTTGTTCCACATTATTTTTACACCAAATGTGTTCCTTTTTCTAAAAACAGTATAATTAAACAAATTTATAAAAATGTTATAAATTTGTAAAGAAATTAACTATACAATAAATAAATTTAGTTAAAGCGATAATTAAATAAATTAGAAGATTGCAAATAACAGAAAAACAAAAAAATTTTTAATCACTCAAAAATAATAAAATTAATTTAAATGATAAAATGTAAAAACTTGTTAAGTGGAAAAACAAAAATAATTTTTGAAAAATTTTTTAAATCAAGTATTGATAATACCTAGGTTCAAATTTAATTTCAGAACTCGAAGCCAAAGATGACCATTGTTGACGCACTGCACAATGTATCACCGATGACACACCTTCAGCAAGACCGTTCAATCGCCTGAATATATTTTTAAAGTTTTCATAAAGAATTCAAAGTCTATTTTATTCTATATTTTCTAGAAACTATCTCATAACAGCTAGTTCCTGTTTCATTACACTAGTGATTTATTTTTAGCATTAACTTACGGAGCAATTGAAGTTTTAGGGTACTCCAATTCTCCATAGGTAATTGTATCCACCTCAATCATCGGTACTCTGTTGAACTCGAGCAACTTCAGTGATATAAAGTCATACTTGATTGTGTACAATGCGTTTTTCGTCAACAACACCACTCGCTCTTTTTCAGTGTCCCAGAGACTGATCCTAGAAAATTATTCATCAATTATTAATTATTTAAGTAAATTATCTCAAGACTGAAATTGAAAGAAATAAAAAAATTTTTATGATTTTACTCAATAAATAAATTATTAAAAATTAATTAAAGAAAAAAATTTGACATAAAAAAATTTTTAAAAAGTACGAATTGAATTTTTATCAAATACTTTTTTAATATTAATTTATTTGCTAAAAAAACTCAAAATAATTAAATGTCTGCTGATTCCAATATCATAAATGTGTTGCAAAGTATACTTATTTATTTTTTGTGATATAAGAGAATAAATTAGTGGTAAATTTAGTAATAATTAATGTTACTGAAATCAGCGGACATCAGACAATTTTATTTATTTTTATTACTGATCGATTATAAGAAAAATATTTTTTAAAAATTTGCATTTGTAATTTTTTTTTTTTAATTTCTAGGTGTAGAATTTTTTTTATTTTAATTTTTTCACAATTTAGTTGTCAATAAAAATCTAAACAACTGGCAAATATCTTTTAATTTCAGTATCATGAATAATAATTAATGAAATAATTATTGCAATGATCACAATATGTTAAAAGGAAGTTCGAGCGTAACTAATGAGTCAAAATAGTGTTAAAATTTTTTTTTAATTTTAGTCTTCCCAATATTCGTCAAAATTCTTTATTTTAATTTAAAATAATTTAAACAATTTAATAATTGATGATTTTTACTTATTTAATAAAATAAAGTAATAAAATGACTTTGGTATTTATTACTTGCCGGAATAAATAAACAGATTTGGCAATCTTGGCAATAGCGCGCTTGATTATACCTATAATAGAGACGTGGATGAGTGTGTGAGTTAAACATTTCTCTCTCTCTGTAACTATATTTCTATCCTTTTCTTTTTTCTCAGCTGTTGGCGCGATGTTGTCAAATCTTTATTCGAATAAATGGCTGACGATAAACAATTTACAAACATATAAAATTTGACTTTGAATATTTCAAAAATTATATCGGTAATGTATTATTATTAAATTGTTTTTATATTTTGCAAAAATCCAAGTTTCTTGAGTATAGTTTTTTATCTGTTAAAGTTGGGAGGTTAATATTGAAAAAAAATAATTAAAGTCTCGACAAAAGTTTGTCCGCCATCAGAGCCCGTGTATAAGAAGATAAAATATGTGATTTTTAAAATTTAATATCTAAGTAACTAAACGGTGAATCTTTTTTAAATTTTGGGATGAGATAAATGACGTATTTATTTATACGTATATTTAATTTCAAAGGTAAAAGTTGGAAATTATTTTTCACATTAGATTCGCTCGTACTTCCTTAATTATAATTAAATTATCATTAAAAAATAGAATAATTACTCAGTCAACAGCCAGGTTCCAATTATTTCGTCATTCTGATCAGTAGCCAAAGTTTCCCGGCACTCTTTGATCGCACGTTCCACAACTTCGTCCCGGTCGGAGAAAAAAGTATGGACGTCGATGTTTTTGTACGGTACGCTCAGGACACTAGAGTCCTTTTTTATTTCCTCGGTGTTTGAACCCTCCCGCGTTTTCTCTGCAATATCATCCAAAGATAATTATTAGTATAAAAAGTAATAAAATAAAGCTATCTGTCAAAGTGACAGGTGATAGATATATGTATGATACTGGAATCGGCAGACATCTGAAATTTTTTTTTTTTTATTCTTATTATAAAAAATATTTTTTAAAAATTTGCACTTGTACATTTTTTTAATTTCCAAATATGGAATTATTTATTTATTAACAGTTTTTCATAATAATTAAGTTCTTATAAAAATCAAAAAATTTGACGAATGTCTGTTAATTCCTGAATCATTATAAAATAATGCTAAATATCTGTCAAAGTGACAGGTGGCAGATGACAACTGTCAAATTTATACTTTTATTTTTATTTATAATAATTATTGATATATTATTTAGTATAAGACATAAAAGAATGAAAAAACTTACCACTGTCTTCTTTGTTAGAAATTCTCAGAGTAGCAGCTTCAAAATTAACCGATGACACTTCGTCCAGTTGATTATGGTCTAGCATTTTTTTGATTTTGACCAATCTAAACTTTTCACTGTAAACTGTACTGACGGCAACTTTCCTTATTTATTTTTGTGTTGTATACACGGTCTACATACACGTGTAATTAAATTTGTATCAACCTTGGATATGCTTTCAAATAATGCTTTTACCTTTTACGCTGGCAAAGATATTAAATATATAAATTATTAATTCGTTCTAGCCATCTAGTGGTTTCATTTATCAACAAATATATATACACTTATAACAGCTGCGAAGGTACTTATATATTTGAATATTGATAAAATGATAAAATTTATGTCAATAGTATTAATCAAATTATGGTTGTACACACGGGAAATTTATGAGTTTTTGATAAACATTATTTAGTAAAAACTTTGAATTATAAATAATGAAACAAAATATAAATATGACAAAATAAAAATACTTGAAAATTATATTTCATTATCATAGAGTTATAATTTTTTAGAAGAAATTTGTAGTTGACTAATAAGATAATTTTTTTTTTTAGGTTTTACATGTTAGTTTAAAATTTTCCGAAATTTCTGACAGTTCTACAGGAGCAATCGGGGAAGTTGTGACATTACAAAATTTTTTACTAATAGCGGTATAAAGTTTAAATAAGCAAAATTTTATTTAGTCACGTAATGACTAACTATAATTAATATAATTTGACACTTAGTATTTTTTATTTGTTAACTGTATATAAAGCACATCCATTTTTATAACATTTCTCGAATGAATTTTATTATTAATAGTTTTATGATTTATTTATTTATATATTTATAAAAATTGATGTGAAATTACTTTTAATTAATTAAAAAAAAGGAAAACGTTTGAATATTAAAAAAAATAATTTTTTTATTTTTTTTTTAGTTTGCAGATTTTCGCGGGTTGTGCAAATTTAAATATGGTAAATGGAAAAAAATATTTATTGTAATTTATTTACACATAATTAATATTAATTATAATGATAAAATTTCTTTTTATAATTTATACTTTTTTTTATTGCAATTTGATATGCATTTTTGATTTTTAATTTTAGCGCGCTTTTTATATAGTACCTTGCGCGCTCACTTCTGCTCTTGGATTTCAAAACAAAAATACCAGCTACTGGTCATAAATATTTATTAATTAAATTATAAATAAAAGATTAATCTAAAAAAATGGATGGAGAAGATGAACTCATTGCTATTCAACCAGCAGAAATAGATGAAGAAGAACAAGGTATTTTTTAATTATTACAATCTACTAGAAATAATAATTTTAATTTTCTAACCTAAGAAAATGTTTGTTTACATTTGGTTGATAAGAATTTTTTTTTTTTTTTTTTTGAAAAATTAATGACAATTATTCTGAAAAATGACTCCGATAATTCTAATTAATCTTTAAAATTACGTAACAATTTAATTTCATCCGTAGAATCATTGGTGGTCAAGAAGAAAAAAGTGAAACAGCAAATTTCCCAGTTGCAAGAGTTGATTGAAGACGTGACTCACCAGCTCGAAGTTGTTAAATTCGGAGACTTGAATATTGACCACAATGCTCTGGTTGCTGCTCTGCCGTCAACTAGTGAAGATCTAAATATTGATGATAAACTTCAGTTTGAGTTATTCAAACTGTCAGGAATCTGGTGCTCTAAGTGTACGGACATAGAGTTAGTATATAAATTTTCAACTAACTCTAATTATCAGAAGCCAAACGCGGTCCAGTTGTTGCTGGATGACGACAAAATTAAAATAGGTAAATGGGCGCTTCCTTGGGGCATCAAGATTGAGTATATCCTAAGAGAAACTCCGCTGGATAAAATGAGTCAAACGTCTGCGTTTCTGAGAAATTGTAAGCGACATATTGATTGTCATGAGCAACGACGGATACAAATCACCAGTTTAAGGGTAAGGTCATTTTAAAATCATTTTTTAAATTAATAATGTATTTTTCTTTTTTCCAAATAATTTATTATAATTATTTATTCACAAAATTCATTACAATTTTCTGATTAAAGATTTCTTTCCTAATTTTGATTTAACTGGTTCTAGAAATTAATTTTATAATTTTTAAAAGAATCAATAATTTATTTACAGGAATTAACTGAAGAAGTAAAAAATATACGAGTTGAAGGATCTTTGGGAAATTTATCCATGTACATTAAACTATTATCGATAAATAACAGAGAATTAAATTTAAAACACGATATGATAATAAGTCTTTTTTATGAATCTGGAGAAGCGAGACCTCACTTAATAAAAACAAATTGGAATTTGAAGAATAAACCTGATGAAAATATGCTACTAGAAATGGGTAAATTTGTAAAAGATTTTAAAAAATATAATCTTCAAGAAACTTATGGAGCGATTGCAAATAGAGACCATCCGATTTTTAAGTGGAAGCCAAATCGCGGAGAAAATAGCCAAGAAATTGTAAGTATTTTATTTTCTTTTTTGTTCTAGTTTTATATTTTAAATATTTACTTTTGTATTTGTCTCTAATTAGACTTAATTAATAAATATGCTGTTAAAAATTTTTCAGAACCTAGGATACGAATATTTTTCTGATGAAGAGGATGAAGTATCCGAGGAAGACCAGCCGAAGAAAAAACGCAAACACGCAAAAAAGCGAACTGTTAAAAAAAGAAAGGAAGCAGAAAATAGTCAAGATAGTCAGGAAAAAGATACTTTAGTAAGCTCAGAGAATGATGAAAATAGTCCAATCAAAAATAACAGTAAGAATAAAGGTACAAAATCAACAGTCGTGAAAAAAACTGCTGCTCCAGTCTTGAAGAAACTGGGTGCTTCAATCGTAAAAAAATCCACGAAATCTCCAGCTTCCAAGAAGAACCAAGTTGATAAGCGGCAGACTCGATTGAGTTTTAAAGGAGTTCCTCTCGAATCTTCCGACGCTCAAGAATCACCTAAAAGACAAGAGTTCAACCAGCGGATGCGAGAGACCAGCACACCCAAGACCAGATTAAGCGACAAAATTCCTCTAGTTTCTCTGGTGCCTATCAGTATCAGTCCGATTGAGTCTGAATCTAGTGAAAAATCTAACCAAAATTTAAATAAGAGTAAGCAGAAAAATCAAAATAAAAAATGAAAGGTGTAGCTTTTATTTTGTGTAAAAATTATAATCATAGTAAGTTATTTTTTTATGTCTATTAAAGTACCTATTTATATCTACATAATTGTTTTATTTACATGTACTTAAATTATTATTAAGAATTTTTTAATCGACACTTGAAAAAGAAAACTTTTTGTATAATGTATATTGTTGTTTAAATTTATGAAGTATCGACTTGAAAGTTAGGCAAAAGCCCTTATTATTGACAGGGCCTCCACTATTGACACCCTATTTAATTTTATTATTTTATTTTTAAAATCTGTCGATAATCACAATTTTTGATATTTCTTGACAATTTTACATATATTTTAAATTAAAAAATAGTAATAATTTCAAGGTATAAACTATTTACCGTAAAAAAAAGTGCGTGCGTACGAAGTACACATGTCAGAAGTGAAACTTCTTTGGCAAACTAATTTTTAAAACTCGTTTATTCTCTTTTAAGGAAGTACGAGCGCCAGGCGGGGTGGGGATAGGTATCGACTCTAGCGCGGTAAGGGGAACGCAGTAACTATATGATTTTTCTCAATATATAGGGCGTGTTTGGCCGAAGTAAGTACTTACTAAATTTAGTAAGTCACTTACTATACTTACTAAATTTTCGGCCGGGACAGAAAATAAGTGCTAACGCAGTAAGCATGGCTTAATATAAGACGATTTTTCGTTTATTATTGATGTAAACAAAACAGACCGAAGCATATAGAATTGAATTTATATTGGTTATTCTATGCAATAAGATATTTAATTACTTTCTTTGATAGAAAGCTTTAAGAGGTACTTGAAAATTATAAAAATTATTATAATTGTGAAAAAAGATCTAGCATATATTTAATAATTTTTTAACAAATAAAAATCTACAAATAATTCCCTTTAAATATCAATTTTTAATTCAATAATTGTTAAGGAAGTACAGAAATTGTGGTAAAAATCATACATACATTTAAAAGAGACATTTTTTTTTATAATATAAGATACTTAAATCAGACTGGAGCACACAAAAAAATATAACGATGATTTATCATTCATTACATATTTATTTTGTGAATTACGTTAAAAATTAATGTTAATTTTGAATTTAAAAAATCATTTCAAATGAGTCTACAACGTTGGCACAAGTTGGACAACTTAGGTTCGCATTCACTCGAGCAAGAAGGGCTCGCATGTTTTCTACGCACTGTGAACATCCAAACCAATGGTTGCATGGTAAACAAATATGATTTGTAATATTTTGTTCACAAACCACACAATCTGTGATATGTTCACCGACAATGAATTCTGAAACATAATTTTTTTCTAAATAAAATGATAATAACATCTAAATGATATGTAAAATTTTTTTATGTTAGCTGTAAAATACTATTTTCATAGGCTTTCATGAAATTTGTGAATTACGATTTCTACCAATTTTTTAAATACGTTGAGCAGAGTCAAAAAAGTTAATCAAAGTAATTTTACAAAAACTAACAGAAACACAAGGAAACTTAATATTTTTTTTTTTATTAAATTAAGTAAATTTTTCTTCGAATAATAAATTAACTTATCAGAAGAGTATATTCATATAACAAATAAAGTATTAAATTACAAGTAAATCTTAATATAACTACTATATGATCAGACTTGAGTCGTTTTATCAAGATATATTTTTAGAACTATGTGAGCGTTGTAAATTAGATAAAATAGACCAATTAATTACTCTAGTTTTTGTATAATTGAATACATATTATTATTTTAACTTCGCTGAATATATCAAAACGATTATTTTCATTTAAATTTTAATACTATCTTTGTTTAATATAATAAAACAATATTTTTTTACCAAATATAAGGTAATACTTTAACTTTGTAATTACCAATTCCAATAGGAACTCCGATGATGAAATCATTAACTTGTTGAACTTCAACGGCTCTTCCATTTTTTAGCTCATTTATCAAGTGACTGACACAATTTATAAATTGTGGAATACCAAACTGATTATTTTGATATAAATCCCAAGCGCGATGGATGATTTCGTTTTTCAAGGTCTCACGTCTTCTAGAGTGTCCCGTTACTTGATTTCCAATTTGTAAAGATGCATACTCTGTTTGCTTCAATTCCTGCAAAATTAAAATTTTTTCTGAAAATAAAATACAATGAATTAATTCATAAGTACTTGTTATTCAAAATTAGATCAATTAAGTTCGAAGCACAAATAACCTGTGAAGTCCCAAATATTTGGATGAGTACCGAATCGGACATTCAACACTTTATTATAGGCTTCAGAGAAGTTGTTAGTTCGAAAAACTCTAAGAAAAACAGAATAAAGCTCCGGTCTTGTTCTTCTTATCCATTGACTATGAAAGTACTTCAGCAGCTTTTTAAAATATATTAAAATAACTGGCACAGTCGTACTAACAATCCAGTAAAAGGCTAGTTCAATATCTTCGGCTGGTAGTAGAGGCAGTACTAATAATTTTTGTAGAAATAATCGACGCGCATCGTTTTCATAGATTCCATTTAGAAGTTTTAACTTCTTTACTCTTTTCATAACCGCCTGTAACGATTAATTAATAAATATTATTGCTTTTAATACATCGAAAAGTATATTTTATTATACAATACCTGACATAGGTGAAAATAACATCGAGTATGAGTTACTCCAGGATAGATTCTCTCAATTGCCGTACCGAGAGCACGTTCAAAGTCAGTGTTTATTGCTAATGGATGCAAATGTGGAGCCAAATTAATAGAAAAATATGTAAGTACCGACTCATATGCTGAAGTATTTTTTTTTTGCATTAAAACCCAACAAAGAGGTATAACCTATGATGAAAAGATAGATTGTAATATCGATAATTGAATTTATAAAATCAAATTTTATTGTGTTTAAAAATAAAAAATTGTATGAAAGGGGTTTTCGCATAAACTTACTGAATCTTGAACCAATCCTAAAAATTGTCAGCAACTGGCAAAATGCAGGTTTTCTAGGAACCACTTTAAATGTCGCATCGATATACAATTCGAAAACATTATTTAAAGATCGTAGAAATTCTAAATCAGCATAAATAATAGATTTAGAATGATCATTATCTTCAATAGTTATGACTGTGATATTTGTTTGATTGTGACTTGTGTACATGTTCCATTCGGGCATCTCAATTAAGTTTATATACTGATCAATTGAATTCGGTATCGGGGGTTTTATTTGTCGGCGCCACCTCAACATTTTTGGATAAATATCAACCCATGTGACATGAATAGCTGCTTCATGATGACTGAAAAAAACACAGTTTACAAAAAAAATATTAACTCAATATGATCCTTAATATAAATAGATATAACAGTTTTTTTAATACTTACAGCAAACTAATTTCATCGTAGATAATTCTTAGAGATTTGAAATGATGAGTTGTTACCTCTTCATACAAAGATCTCTCGAAGTTGTAAATTTTTTCTGCATCGCTAACTCTAGCGTGATCATGATTACGAGAAATAGTAAGTTGATTATTAATTAGTTTACCTCGAAATTTACAGTTTTTTCTTTCTTTGTATTTACATATCACATACCTATAAATAATAATTATTGACTTTCAAAAAACAGTAAATTAAAAAAATATTGAAGATAATTCAATCATTTTTACTTACATGCCACCAGGAAATGCTTTGGAGCACATGTATTCATATCCATCGATACTTATCATAGGGATTCGACGACGCGCCAGAGTTTTTTGACCGTGATGAAAGCAAATGTTTGACATTGCAGTTCTTATTTTTATTTAAGTGATTACGATTAAATTTCTTAGTTATTTTGATAACAATTTGTTAATGGTTAGAAGTACTTTTATTTATGAATAATGTTTGACCCGCAGATGACTTTATATTTATATTTATTTGGGCAGTCCAAGATATATATAGCATATAAATTAAGGAACTACTCAACTCACATGGTATACCATATTTTAATGGAGCCGACACCAGTAAAGTATTTTGCGGAAATATTATACACACATCCGACTGAAAAAATTATTATAGAGGGCAGTTTGATTTAAAAGACAAAACACTCTCGGAGTCGAGTGGATATTACGCGTCATTAGTCGATCATCAGTTTTATTCTGCGATTTCTGGATTATTCTGCGTATTCAATAATTTTATATTTAACCCTAGTATCTGCTTCTGAAACTTAGAAACTAAAAAAAAAAATATTATTTACTACGAGCAACGAAAGTAATCTAGCTTACGGTATGGTATAACATCAAAATTTTTAATTGTTACTATTACAAATTATATATTTTTAGTTTAATTTATTGAATGTTTAAAATTTTCAGGCAAAAATGGCAGAAATACATGGTGGATTCCGATACAGAGTTGAGCGTCGTAATAATAATGACGTGTAAGACTTTCATTTGTTTTTTACTAATTTTTAAATTTATTTTTAAATTCATTTTATGATATTAAAATTAGCTATCACTTGAACATTTTTTAATTTTTAAAATTTTCTAAAAGTCAATTTTTTAATTTTTTTTTTTATGCAGTAATTTATTTATTAGAAAATTTTTAGAATTATAAAATATCTGCTAAATTAATTTTCATATTTATTTTTGAATTTATTTTATTATATTAAAGTTAGCTATTACTTGAACATTTTTTAATTTTATTTAGCAGAAAAATTTGTTCCGAAAAATTATTAATAAAAAATTGTATTTTTAATTTTAAAAAATTTCTAAAATTCAATTTTTTTCTTTTTTTTTTTATGCAATAATTTATTCATAGGAAATTTTTTATAATTATTAAATATCTGTTAAATTAATTTTCATATTTATTTTTAAATTTAAAATTTTTTGTAATTTATTTAGATTTTTAGTCTGCGCTTATCGTCTTACCAGATTATGCACTGGGCGAGCTATTAAAAATGTCGATGAATTTCGTTTGATTAGAGAGCATAATCACGCACCAAATTTACGTCTTGAAGAAGAGAGAGCCTTCGTGAGACAATTATATGATCGTTGCGAATCTCGGTTAGCAAATACCCGTGATATATACGAGAGTTTAAGGGCAACGTATGTTTTTTTTTTTTTTTTTTCATGGAATTAGAAAGGATAAAAAAAATTTTTAATTTTAACTTGAAATGATTAAATTTGTTATTTATAGGTATGCAGATGCAAGTAGAACAATATCCTGGCGAAGTCAACAAACAAACATGCGACGAAGGCAGCAAAATTTTATACAAAGCTTACCGAGGGTTCTTTCGTTAACCCATTTGAAATTGTGTCTTGAAAATGATGCCAGATATGACAATTTAACACATCACTCGCATGGTTCTATGCAATTAAGATTTCGTACTCAGAACGACTTAGGTACTGTTGCAGTTATGGGTGATTCAGAGTTGATTAATAAATTTGATCCTAATTCTACAATGTACATCGGTACAACTAATACTATTTTACCCGCGGGATTAGATGCAAGAGAGACTTTAATAATCGTGCTTTTAAACAGGAATCACGTATGTAATATAAATTTGATTTATTTATTTATTTAGTTATCTATTGTTGTATATATTCTAATTTCTTAAGTAATTTTTTTTAATTCTCAGGCTTTTGGTGTTTCGTGGGCATTCATGCCAGACAGGTCTGAAGTTAGTTTTAACGCCGCGTTGGACATTGCATGTTCCCAAATCGCTCCTCTAATGAATCCAACTAGAATTTATTATGACTATGAGCAACGATTGAATGACTCATTGACAGCAAACATTCCCGGTGCAACTGTAAAAGGAACTTTCCTTGCTTATGCTAACGTAAATTTGTTTTCTTTACGTAAAGATGCAATACCGCATTGTCAATCAAATATTTATTTTCATCTTTTTTATTATTATTATTAGATCAATATCGCTAGCTGTTTTTATTAACTAATTAAAATTTAAATTTCAGGTAATGATTCGTCGTGCTACACTATTAAATGTAGACCTAGCAGACGTGAATAATCAAATAATTTTTAAAAAGTTGCTCGCTGTTTTGCTTTAAAAAGTTGCTCGCTGTTATTGCATGTCGCTATAAGATATTGTTTTAAAAAATCACTCTTTGACTTATATTAGTTATGGTACGATTATATAGTACCATAAAATCTGCTTGAAAATGTGAAATTTCTTGACGTTTTCTAAATGGATACTAAATGAAATTGATAGATATTGTATTGAAATACCTTTTTAGTTATTATCATATTTAATCTAATGTTTCTTCCTCTGAGCTTGTTTCTAGAACAGGGAATATATTGTCATGCTTAGTGGATGCAGTGCAAATTTTTTGGTGAAAGTTTGCATATTCCAAAAACAAGATGAGGGTCATAATATGGGCACAGCAGCCTACTGTTCGAGACCCATTCTTACACGTGCAATAGTATTCTAGTATTGCATCAAACCCTTCTCCATGTTTTTCAACGAGAATGTACACTTTATACTTTACTTGATTTATATTTCGAGATCGTATACGCGCACAGATTAGCATCGATTGAATATTTTTTTATATAGATTGTTAGCAGTGGTTCGTAAAAATAGTTATCAAATATTTCTTCATTGAAGAAATAAATAAGTAATAAAAGCAATTTTTATTTTATCAATTCGATAAAAAAAATTTCTAATCTCTTTAATAAAAATTATTTCTTATTTTTTTCAAATGATAAGATAAAATGTCACTCTTTGATTTAAGTATCATAAATTTTTATTTTAAATTTGGCAATTCTTTAATTAATCAATTACATGCTTGGCATAATGTGCTATGTAAGCACACAAGTGTGCGTTATTGATAAAACACCAGAAATAAAACAAAAGTTTATCAATAAATTTGCATAACTTGTTGAAGTAACAATAGTTATCAAAAATTTCTTCATTGAAGAAATAAATAAGTAATAAAAGCAATTTTTATTTTATCAATTTAATAAAAAAAATTTCTAACCTCTTCAATAAAAATTTTATTTTTATTGCTAAAAAATTAAATTGTTTTTATAGAAAAAAAACATGATAAAAAAAGTAATTGTTGATTGTGACGGTGGGTATGATGATGCAGTGTCACTAGTCCTGTTAATAGATGCTCATAAGAAAAATATAATAGACTTGAAAGCTATCACTTGCGTTGCGGGTAATACTGACATTGACAATGTTGTAAAAAATGTCTACAGAGTTTTGCAAGCTTGCGATTCTAATGTAAGTATTTTTATAAATTATTCATGATACTGAAAGTAGTAGATGAAAATTAATTTAGCAGATATTTGATAATTTTAATAATTTTTATAACAAATAAATTATGGCAAAAACAAATTTTTTTTTAAATTGACAAGTAGAAATTTTAAAGAATAAAAAATGCAATTTTTTATGAAAATTAAATTAGCCGACATTAAAAAATTTTTTTATTCAAAAAATTTCAAGTAAACAATTAAAAAAAAAAATTTCACATGTAAAAAACTTGAAAAACTACAAGTGCAATTTTTTATAAATCTTTTTTTAGTTGTAATTTAATTTAAAAAAAAAATCAAAAATTTTTAGACGTCTGTTAACTTCAGTGTCATATAATAATTAGCAGAGATCTAAATATTCTTAAAATTTTTATAACAAATAAATTATTACATAAAAAATTGCATTTGCAATTTTTCAAATTTTTTACATGTCAAATTTTTATTAATAATTTTTTTTTAATAAAAAAGTTATGAAAATTTCAAGATATAGATTAACTTAATTATTATTATAATAAAAATTAAGTTAGCCGACATTTTATATTTTTTGATGTTGCTTAATTTATTAAATTAGAACTAAAAAATATTTTTAAAAAATTGCGCTTTTTTTTTGTAATTTTTAATTGCAACTTTTTTTATAAAGAAATTTAAAAAATTTTTAGATGTCGGCTAACTTTATTGTCATATTTTTATAAAAGTGATACTATTTAATTATTTTTTTAGATACCGGTGTACAAAGGAGCAGACTCGCCGCTAATTTGTATAGAATCTCAGGCTCTGAAAGCTGCAGAGGTGAGATATCACGGCCACGATGGTTTTGGAGACGTATTTACAGATCAAGTAGATATTAGTAAGTTGGAAAAAGAGCATGCGGTAATTGCAATGAGAAAAATAATTACTGAGAATCCTGATCAAGTTTCTGTAGTGTGTCTGGGACCGCTGACTAATGTCGCGCTTGCTGTAAAAATTTATCCGGAGATTTTGGAGTCGGTAAAAGATTTTTTCATTATGGGAGGAAATTCTGCAGGTAATTATTTTAATTTATTTTCAATATTTAAACTTAATTTTTTTTTTTATTATTGTGTTGATTTTTTTTTTTAGGACAAGGAAATACAACAGCACAAGCTGAATTTAATTTTTACGCTGATCCAGAAAGTATTTATATTTTATTGCAATGTAATTCAAAGCCACTGTGGCTTTTTCCTTGGGAAACTTGTCTTAAATCAACTATTACAATGGTAATTATATTTTTTTAATAAGTACTTACCAGAAATTAAAAATTATATTCTATATATTAAATTCATAAATAATTATGAAAATAAAATTAGCAGACATTTGACAATTTTTTTTATTAAAAAAATTAAAAGAAGAAATTTAAAGAGCACACCTAGTGTGACAGCCTAAAAAAAGACGATTTTTGGGAATTAAAAAAAAATAACTACTGTATCACTTGTTTTAGAATTTTAAGGGTATATTTATAAATATTTTAAGAATATACACAGTTAAATTTTAGAAGAAAAAAATTGAATATTTTTCGAGTTCTACACGATCTCCAACAGCGCTAAAAAAAAGGTTCTCCACTGCTGCAGTAATTTCTGCCTTTTTCATGGATGAAACAAAAAAAAAAAATTCTCGTTAAATTAGAAGATATTGTCCGTACAATGACCTACGGCCGAAAAAAAATATGAAAAATTGACAAAATGGCGACATTTAAAAAAAAAAAAAATTTTATCCAAATTTTTGGTCTTATCACAGTAACTACATGGAAAGAACAAGATGACACTGGATACCATCTCAGATTATACTCAGTGACATCTGAGGCGAAAAGAAAATTTCAGATGATAGCTAGTATAATCCAGATTATACTCATTGTAATCTGGATTATACTCATTGTTATCTGAATTATACTAGCTACTATATGAAATTTTTTTTCACTCAGTATAATCTGGGATTATATCCAGTATAATCTTGTTCTTTCCGTGTAACATTTAAAAATTTTTTTCAATTTTTCTTATTAAAAAAAAGTTTGCCCGCCAAATTAATGATAAATTTGATTTATAAATAGAAAATACTCAAATATAAATATTTTTAAGAAAAAATACTTGAAATTAAGGTTTAAAAGTTATAAAAAATGCAGCAATATTAAAAAAAAATTAGGTATAAAAATTTTGCAGTTACTGTGTTTTAAAATTGAGCAGCCAATTTGTCTCCGAGTAATCACTGCAGCAAATTTGAAAAATGCTGTTTCGAGAAAAACGCGTTTAAAGATAAAATGATCCTATTATAACTGCCGAGCGGCTACTTTTGAAATGGCTGTTATTCAAAAACTATTTGAGATATCGATTTAAAATTTTAGTATGTTATTTTTAAAGGTATAATCTATCGAAATATGAAAAAAAAATCGATTTTTTTTAAATTTCACACTAAGTGTGCCCCTTAATAGGTAAAAAAGTTTTTAAATTAAATGTGCAATTTTTTTTATTTCTAATTAAATTATTAAAAAATTTTTTTTTAATGTCTGCTAATTTTAGTTTTATAAAATTTTCCTTTTTATTGATAAAATAATAATTTTTTAGGACTGGCGTGAAAACAAACTGGGAAAACTAAAAGAAAATAAAAAAATAAAATTAATAAGTACAGTTGAAGACGGAATTTACAAAAATAAAATAAAACGAGAAATTTATCGGCCATGTGACGCTTTCTGTGCAGCCGCGCTGATAAATCCTAAAATAATAACTCACTTCGAAAATTGTCACGCTGACATTGAACTGCATGGAGTGAAAACTCGCGGCTTTGTCGCTATTGACCACTTGAGAAATAATAAGCCGAATATTAACCTCGTCAGCGACCTAGACTTTCAAGAATTTAAGTCTTTGATGCTTGACAGTTTTCAGGAATAAAAAAATTATTATGTATAAAAGTATAATGTAAACTAATTATATCAGTTTAATTTTACACTTTGTACAATAAATCATTTAAATCTTAAATTATAAACACATTTTCTATACATCTATAAAATAAATCAAAAAAAAATAAAAGCATTAAATGATACAAAATTTAATTACATTTTTCTTCGTCTTTTTTGGCGTCAGTGTTTTTCAAGGACGCCTGATGGAGTTCTTCCCGGGTTTCTTTGTTGGATTTAAGTAACTCGACAAATTGTGCGTGGACTGCATTTGTTTTGGATTCGAGATCGTCAAGCACTGAGTGCAATTGGTCTAATTGTTCGTTCAATAATTCATATTCTGTAAATTAAAAAATTATAAATAATTTTTATCAGGGAAGAAAAATTTTGACGTTTTATAAAAAAATTTTTTGATGTCAATTTTTAGAATTTTATTTAATTTATTGGGAAAAAAAAATTGAATTAAAATTAATGAAAATAAATTTAGCAGATATTTTATAATTTTAATTATTTTCTTTAACAAATAAATTATGGCAAAAAAAATGAATAAAAAAATTGACATGTAGAAATTTTAAAAAATTAAAAATGAAAATTAAGGTAGTGGACAAAAATTTTTAGAATTTTTTTTTTATTGAGAAAATGATTAAAAAATAATAAAAAAAATTTTTTATTTGTGAAAAATTTGATAAACTGTAAGTGGAATTTTTAAAAAATATTTTTTAGTTTAATTTAATATTAAAAAAAAAATCAAAAAATTAAAAACGTCGGCTAACTTATAATAATAAAGTTAGCCGACACTTTTGATTTTTTTATTTTGCTTAATTTATTAAATTACATTAAAAAAAATATTTTAAAAAAATTGCACTTATAGTTTTTGAAGTTTTTAATAAGTGAATTTTATTTTTTTATTTTTTTGTAATAATTTTTTCAATAAAAAAAAATTCTAAAAATTTTTAAATGTCGGCCAACTTAATTTTCATGGCTAACTTTAGTATTATAAATTAAAAATGCAATTTTTTTTTAATTATTTTTTGGAACTAATTTGTTTATTAAAGAATATTAAAAAATATTAAAGTTAGCAGTCTTAACAATTTTTTAATTTTTTTCTAACAAATAAATTTGTTTTAAAAAATTATTTTTAAAAAATTACATTTTTTCATTTTTAAAATTTCCACTTGTCAATTTTTTTTCCTCATTTTTTTATGATATTAAAGTTAGCTGTCACTTGACCATTTTTGAATTTTATTTAACAAAAAAATTTGCTCCGAAAAATTTTTTTAAAAAAATTGCATTTTTAATTTATTAAATTTTTTAAATGTCAATTTTTTTTTCTTAATTTTTTATCCAGTAATTTATTTATTAGAAAAATTCTTAAAATTATTAAATATCTGCTAAATTAATTTTCATAAAAAAATTCCACGTGTAGAAATTTTAAAAAACAAATTAATGCAATTTTTTCGGTAATAATTTATTTTTTAAATAAAAATAAAAATTATCAGATGTCAGCTGATTTCAGTATTAAAAATATAATATTAAAGTTAGCTGTCACTTGAGAATTTTTTAATTTTATTTAACAAAAAGATTTGTTCAAAAAAATTATTTTTAAAAAATTGCATTTTTTATTTTTTTAAATTTCTAGATGTCAATTTTTTTTCTTATTTTTTTTTCCATAATTGGTTTGTTATAAAATTTTTGAAATTATTAAATATGTGCTACGTTAATTTTCATATTAAAAATTTTTGAGTTAATATTGGTAACTGTCACTTTAAAAATTAAAATAATAATTAAAACTCACCCTGATCAGTTTCATCTTGTTCATTGTTATCAATTTCACCATTTTGATTATTATCAAAAGGTTCCACTGCTTCACAAACCATTTTATTGCTGTCCATAATATTATTAACAAAAAGTGACAATTGATCAGCTGATTGCCAAAAACCACACCTTAGCACTAAGATAATGTAGGAGAAAGTATTCTAATTATTGCGTAGTGCACGATGGGGAATAATGTAATAAAACTTGCCGATATTTTAGAAAGTTACAGCGCCATCATGTGAAAAGTAAGAAAATGACACGTGACTTACTTGTGGAGCCACCTGCAAATTTTATTACAAATGGCGGCGGGACTTGGACGTATATAGTATATCGTACAGTAATTGTAAATAAATACTTGCATTCACTCCACGTGATATTGATAGGTTATATTATTAATAAATAGAAGAAATAATAAATAAATAAAAATGGAAAGTGATCAATTACAAGACCAAGGAGGTCTTAGAGTTGATGGAAGAAGACCATTGGAATTACGTCAAATAAAAGTCCGTCTAGGAGTTTTTGGTCAAGCTGACGGTAGTGCGTACCTGGAGCAAGGAAAAACTAAAGTATTAGCTGCTGTCTATGGACCTCATCAGGTATTTATAAATTTCTTCTTTAAATTCGTGATAATGATATTGAAAATTAATTTAGCAGATATTTGATAATTCTAAGAATTTTTTTAATAAAATAAATTATAGAACAAAAAAAATGAGGAAAAAAAATTGACATGTAGAAATTTTAAAAAATTAAAAATGCAATTTTTTGGAATAAATTTGCTTGTTAAATAGAATTAAAAAATTATTGACTGCTAACTTTAACGTCATTAATGATAATGAGAATGAAATCAGCTGACAGCTCTTTTTTAAAAATTTACGAGCAAATTTTCATTTAATCGTTGCAATAAAAAATTTTTAAACTGCATGTGCAAGAATTTTTAAAAATTAATACAATTTTCTTTATATTAAAATTAGCAGACTTTTAACGATATTTTTGTTGACTAAATTAGAGCTAAAAAAATATTTTTAAAAAGTTGCACGTAAAGTAAAAGCCCCCATTATTGGCACTACAAGAGTGATCATGAATATTTGAATTTTTTTATCGTGTTTCAAATCAATATTGTCAACTTTTTTTTTATAGGACACCTTAATCATTGTTTTTACTTATATAATTTAATTAATTAACTTTAATAGCAATACATTTAATAATTATTACATCAACTTAAAGCCAACAGGTTGAATTTATGTATTATTGACAGCGCAAAAAATTCAAAGAGCCGATTATTGACATACCATTGACCCTATTATTGACAGGTCTTTTATTACAGTTAAATTTATATTAACAATAATCATTTTTACTAACTAATGCAAAACTATCAATAATTTTTATTATTTTAAAATTCGTTTAAGACCTAGCTTTTCTATATTTTTTAGCAATTTTTTCTAGTCTCAAATACTTTGATTTAATTCTAATAAAATCACATGACAGTATGTAAACATTAATACGTTGATATGTATGTTGAGGGGGTTGGGTTACCTTACATTATGGCCTGTGTCGTTAGTTGTCGCAAGTTAATTTTTGTGTCCCCATCATTGACATCCGCTATTTTAAAATTAATTTTTACTCGATAAAGTATAAATAAATATTTATATGGTTATTTAGACTATAAATAATCTAAAATAATTTTAAACAATGCAATTACATAAAAAAAAACATTGAGAAATCTGGATTTGAAAATAAGGTCTTTCTTAACAATATTGTTAAGAAATTACAAACGTATAAGCAGTTTTGGCCTACTTGAAAAAATGAAATTTTTTTGCGGTAAATACTTTATACCTTGGAATTAAATTTTACTATTTTTTAATTTTAAATATATGTAAGATTGTCATGAAATATCACTGATTGTGATTATTAACAGATTTTAACAATGAAATAATAAAATTTAATAGGGTGTCAATAATGAGGCCCCTGTTAATAATAGGGGCTTTTACCTTATTGTTTTTTAAATTTTTATAACAAATTATAAAAAAATTATTCTTGAAAATTTTTACAATTTTTTTAAATTCTCATAGAAATTTTTTAGCTTAATTTTTTTCATGATAATTTAATTGTTCTAAAAATCTAAAAAATTCCAAGAAGTTGATATCAATGTCGATAATATTTAATAATAATAAAATTCCAGCCTAGAGGAGCTTTGGCGCGAAGCACCGCTAATAAATCCACCAAAGGCTTAATAAACTGTCAGTACAGTATGGCAGTATTTTGTCTAAGCTCAGGAGAGCGCAAGAAGCGTCCTCGAGGAGACAGAAAGACCCAGGAGCGATCCATAGAACTGAGACACGCTATGGAATCAATAATAAACCTTGAGCAGTTCTCCAGGTCCCAGATCGAGATTTTCGTAGAAGTTCTTCAAGCTGACGGCAGCGACTTTTGCTGCGCTGTGAATGCGTCAACCTTGGCGCTGATAGACGCGGGGATTCCCATCAAAGATTACGCCATCGGGTGCACGGTGACCTTGCCGGATGCTAGCACTAACTATGAAGACCAGGAGACTCAAGGGATCGGAGTGCTGGATGCCAATAACCTGGAGGAAAACGGCCCTGGAGTGACTTTGAGCATCGTTGCGCTGCCTGAAACTACTTGCGAGCTTACAAAGGAACCCGGGTTGATAATTGCTGCTCAAGGTTCTGGAAGGCTGCATTTGTCCAGGTTGGAAGGTATGAAGGTTCGGGCGCTCATTGGCTGCAAGAATATCAAGAGTATCTTGGACCAGGCTGTCAGGCATCATCTTACTGTTAATTCACTTCCTTCTTTGTACGGTACTCCAACAATTGAATAAATTAGTTATTTTTTTTTTTTTAATTATAATATTCTATTTTTCTGGAATTTAAATTGTTGATAAATTAGTTAAATTTTTTTCTTTTAATAAAATGAAAATGATGAAATAGATTTGAATTATAGTTACCAATAATTATTTATTTATTTTAACGTATTCAAATCTACTTACATTTTTATTAAAAATATATTTATATATTTTTAGTATAAAGAATAATTTTTAATTTTTAAATTAGATTTCTTTTTTCAATATTAACAATCAGTATAGTTGCAGTCGATTATAAAAATATAAAAGGTATTATATTATTTATAATGTTGCATCTGGGTGTCGCTCCAAAAGCATTCCAACGCCCTGAAATAATAATAATAATAATAATAACAATGATATTAAAGGGACCGGGTGGTCTAGCGGCCTAAAATTTAAGCTATTTTAAAAAATTTTATTTCTATATGAAGGTACACGGAAAGAACAAGATGATACTGGATACCATCTCAGATTATACTCAGTGACATCTGAGGTGAAAAAAATTTCAGATGGTAGCTAGTATAATCCAGATTATACTGAATAATATCTCGATTATACTCATTGTAATCTGGATTATACTCATTGTTATCTGAATTATACTAGCTACTATCTGAAATTTTTTTTCACTCAGTATAATCTGGGATTATATCCAGTATAATCTTGTTCTTTCCGTGTAATGACTAATGCTTTCAAATTTTTTTCACACTTATTCTATTATTTATCAACTACACAAAAACGAAAATCAAAACAAAAAAAAAATTTTTTTTTAATTAGAAAAATGGCGCTGAAGTTCCTCCCTCTAAAAAAAATGGACCTGACTGGTGCGTGTCGATTGATCTCTCCCTCTGATCTGAAATAAAAAAAAATGACGGATTTTTAATTAGTATAAGTATAGTTATCGTCGGAACTAGAATGAAAAAAAACAAAAAAAATATTTGACAAAATGGCACGTAGTAAAAAGTATTTTTTGAAAACGAGTTTCAGATTCGTACTTTTAACTGCGCGCTATTTTGTCAAATATTTTTTGTTTTTTTTTTTTTTCATTCTAGTTCCGACGATAACTATACTTATGCTAATTTAAAATCCGTCATTTTTTTTTCATTTCAGATCAGAGGGAGAGATCAATCGACACGCACAAGTCAGGTCCATTTTTTTTAGAGGGGAACTTCAGCAACATTTTTTTAATTAAAAAAAAATTTTTTTTTTGTTTTGATTTTCATTTTTGTATAGTTGATAAGTAAGAGAATAAGTGTAAAAAAAATTTGAAAGCATTAATCACTACCTTCATATGGAAATAAAATTTTTTAAAATAGCTTAAATTTTAGGCCCCTGGACCACCGGGCTCCCTTAAAAGCTCAAGTTAAGAATTTTTTTTAGATAAAATAAAATTCAAAATTCTGGACTTTATTTTGGAGATAAGAAAAAATCATAAGAGACTTTTTTAAAAAAGTTTCTTATAAATTTTTCGCTATCTCTGATCATATTGTCTGTATATTAATTTGAAATTTGATTATCAGAGAATTTCATTAGATTGTGTTTAAAAGAATTTAATGTCAAAATTATCGGGTAATTATTAGAGATACAAAAAAATTACAAGAACCCTTTTTTTGTAGAGAATTTCATTTAATTTAAAAAAGGTTCTTATCAACTTTGCTATAATTCTTATCATTTAGCGAGAGTTTCAATTTTAATTGTTTTAAAAATTATTTTAATAGTATAATTATTTTCAAAATTTATTTTAATTAATTATTTTTAAAATTAAAATTTTTTTAGTAACATTTATTAGTTACTTTTTTAATAATAATTTATAAAATAAATAAATAAATTACCTGACCACCAGCTGCACAAGCAGCAATAAGTCCAAACTGTTGGTTCTCTTTAATCATCCGATTAGCAGTATGTGTCGCCAATCTAACACCCGTAGCAGCAAAGGGATGACCAATAGACAATGACCCACCCCAAGCGTTCCATTTTTTCAGATCAGGAACTCCAACTTTACCATTTCGGTTCATATATTCTTTAGCAAACCAATCAGAGTCCATTGCTTTCAAATTAGCAAGAATTTGACCGGCAAAAGCTTCATGGACTTCCCAGACTCCAATATCATTTAGCGCTAATCCAGCTTTTTCCAGCACCTAATAAAAATATCAAAATTAATATTACAAACATTCCTATTAATTAAAAATTAAAAATAATTAAAAAATATTTACTTTGGGAATAGCATAAGTAGGACCAAGAAGTAGTTGATCAACCGGGTCCTGGGAAACATAAGTAAAATGTCTGAGATAAGCCTTCGGCTTGAGCCCGAGCTGTCTTGCTTTTTCTTCACTCATGATCAGACCCGCAGAAGCTCCGTCTGTCAAAAAGGAAGCATTGGCAGCAGTGACAGTCCCGTAGGGTTTAACGAAAGCTGGCTTCAACTTCGCGAGACTCTCTATAGGTGATACACGGATTCCGTTGTCCTTATCAACAACCTTGTCAACGTTGGGAACTTTCATCGGAACCAGGTCTGATAGATTTCCTTGCTGCTGAGCTTGCTGGGCGAGAGTGTGAGACCTCAGCGCGTACTCGTCTTGTTCTGCTCGCGAAACTCCAAATGCTGCCGCTAAACGATCTCCACTGTGGCCCATGGTCTCTCCAGTTGAAAATTCAGCTACTGCTGGTAGCTGAATAATTAGATAAATTAATTAATAAACTAGCAACTTTGCAGTCACTATGTGACTGCCGACAATTATGACAACTATGTATAAATAAAATTGTGCTTTATTAAATAATGATTTTTGTTAAATTGGACTGTACTTTCTTAAATATTGAAGTTTTTAAGGATATAAGCTCATCCCGATGTTACTCTCATCAAGAGCTTTCATTTGAGTACCCACATGCATTTTGATATATTTTTCATATATACATATATTTAATATATATAAATATATAAAATATATGAAAAATTGATGTGGGTACTCAAATGAAAGGTCTTGATGAGTGTAATGTCGAGACGAGCTTATATCTTTAAAAATATCATTAGTTGACAAGATACAATGTAATTTCTTAATTATTGACGTTTTTAAAGATAT